CCGATTTGCTGCAAGAGCATTCTTGCACTGAATTGTTGTCAACCCGCACGCATGGGCTGTTAAGCGCTCAGCTCGAGGAGAAAATTTTCGCTGAAAGTCTGTATATAGAGGTTATTGACGGCCCTGATCACGGTTCTGACCTTTATAACTGGCGCCTAGGTCATTTGGCGCCAACATGGCTCTGAATACCCCCCCCCCTAACTGCGGGTTGGGATGCTGCGAGAATCACTTGAGAAACTACAATGCTGCCTCACTGTGTGCCAAATAAAGTACTTTTTTCACCTTGACTTGTATTGTTTTCGATGCAGTGTCGACGAAGGTCTCATTTGCTGTGCATACTCAACATTAGAGATAGAAAAAAAGCCTAGAAAAATGGTTCAAAATCGCTTTTCCCCAGCAAACTTTTCACCCATTTTTTGACCTCCCCAGAAGCGCATAGCAAAAACGAAACCCATTTTTGTGATCCTTATATGGACCCCTACAACAAGCAACAAACCATTTCTGAAAAGCGCGCCACGACCTGAAAGACCTCCTTTGTTAGGCCGCTTTTATTTTCATGTTTTGTGGGAATGCGTGGCCTCCGAGGGAGATTGCAGAAGCAGCACAGTTGCTCTTGAGTTCTGGCCTCGTCATTCGATTCGTATTTTGCAGCATGAGCAACACCTCAGATGTTATCCGCATCAGAAGTTTGCCTTTTAATTGCATTCCAAAGCGCAATTACACGACTTGGCAAAGTGCCAGCGACACGCGCCGCGCGGACAGCTGTTTATAGAAAACGGAATCGGGAATCTGCTCCGCAAATTGCATTTTAGGCGAAGCATGGAGAAATTCGTCAGAAAGCGTGTCCTATGGTCCTGGATCTCCATTCCTGCGCATGTTCGGACAGGGAAACCGCTACGCTTTGACAGCTGGGGGCTGATAGTCACGCACACCCAAACTATGTGTGTACCATGTGTCTTTGAGCAGCGCGATGCCGAGCTTTAGCCAGGCGGAAGACGAACTTGTCCCCTTCTCGGCCTTCCAGCTTGTCGTACAGGGCGTCCATTTCCGTATTCTTGGCCTTAGCAACGGCTGCCTTAGCGAGTCGCTTGCAGCTCTTGTAGGCAGCGTGCTTCCTTCTTCTGCTTGACGATCCCCTGGACTTCCTCGTTCCAGAACCAGGCTGCCTTGTCTCCTCTGATACCACCTCGCGTCTCTCCCAGGACCTCCTTGCACACTGTAGGATGACCTCTGCTGTGTTGGCCCAGGTCTCCTGGACAGGCCCGTGAGTGTGAGAGCCAAGCCAGTATTCTCCGGGTGAGCTATTCTTTTCAAGCTTGTGCTCTTTCCACCACCTAATTCCCCGCTCGGTTCTTACACTCAATTCCTCGGTGATGTCTTTGACGATGTCTGCCAGGAGAGGCCTGTGTTAAGGATCTAGCTCTCCCCTAGGCAGTACTTCGATATCCTAAACGGTTTTGAGAAACCATTTTCTCACCAGTTCATAATTTATTTCCGTTTGTCTCCCACTATTGCTGTAGGTTGTCTTTTGTATCTTTCTTTTCGCGGAGGTGCTACAGATTGCTACGTCGTGGGCTTCCCCGTTGCTATTCCTCTTCTTCCGTGCACGCCTTCTAGACCCGCTTCTGTCATTACCCACATGGCCATTCAGATCCCATTTTGAGGTAGTCAACTTCCAGAACCGATCTTATGGCCTTGTCGTGATAGGTGGAACTCATCCTTTTCCGCCTCGGAGCAACCGGATTGTGGTGCGTACACGGTCAGTATCCAGTACCGCTTCCTTCGTGCCTGTTCTCACTCCCGTGATCCGATCACTGATCTTTCACTGAGATGGCGCAGTCTCTAAGAGATTCTGCTACTGCTATAGCGACACCATTCCGTTTGATGTTTCCTTGATTGCGGGAGAGTTTGACCCCTCCCACTCTCGTGGGCTTTGCACTTCTTCAGCGCGTTTCCTGAAGCGATAGAACTCGAATACTGCGTCTCATGAGGTCGGCAATCTCTCGAGACTTCCAGTAAGCGACCCCACGTTCAGGGTCCCAATTCGAACTAGCTTCTTTGGCCGAGGTCGTTCACCCCTCGGTAGCCCTCGCATACTGACCACAGAACTCGGGCGAGGGTTCTGCGCGCCACTTCCGGGTGACGTCCTAGCATTAACACTGATACTTTTGCGACTTGTCATGATTGTTGTGACGGGTTTCTCCATCAGCCGGCCTGTCAACCTGGGCCTGACGCTGGTATCGTCCCCATTTTTGCAATTTTTGCAAGGCAGGTTTGTGCCTCGGCAGGGATCGAACTCGTGGCTCAGAGTGCAGACATGAGTCTACACTCTGGAGGAAAAATTTTCTTGCGCATATAACTTCGTATATTTGTCAATTGCTACAGCTTCATGGGATCTAACCTAGACCGAAGCGATGGGCGAGTTGGATACAATGATTTTTCTCATTCCAAAATCATACCATTTTTGCTGAAAAGCTGCTATTTCAAAAAATCCGCTTTTGAGGGTTCTGACCCATCAACAGAGGGAAATTTATCGGAAGGAAAGTAGCATTGTTTACATCCATGTAAGGACAAGAGTACAAAAACTGTTGGAACGGCAGGGTCCGCGCTTTGTAATCGGTGCTCGAACTGTTTGTGAGGGTATGTCCCGTGGTGAGCTCGACCCTTAACCAGTCCGACCTGCAGCTCGGTTGGTCGGCTTCATCACTGGCCACAGTCTGCATTGAGCTAACAGCCCCAATCACAGCCAGTATAGCACAAACAACCATTGTTGTTATCCCAACTTCAAGACATTTACCATGAACCTGCCAGCGCTCACGTCGGGCTCCTGCTTGGTTCTCTAAGCAGGGCACATCATTAGTTGAGGATTTTGTTTGCGCGCCCGTACAACCACCCTCCCCCCTAGAAGATGGCTTGATACGGCGGAAGGTATATTGTGCAACTGAAAAAGGAAAAGTTGCGAGAAAATACGACCTCCATTCGCGTATCTTACCTACCACTTTCTTGGATTCTCCCAACTTCCTACCAGTTTCTCGGAATTTCCCGCAAATTTTCCTATTTCTTCCCAAAAAATTTTCCTGTCAAGCGGGGAGGGGGAGGAGCTATTCACTACGTACGAAAAAGGGAAAAACCAAGAAAATCAACAACCTCTTTTCCAGACCAGAGGGCGAATACGAACCCCCCTCCCAACAAGCAGCAGATGCGTCCCTCCTCCTTTATAGTGTCCCACAGGAAAAATCAACTGTCAAAATTTTTCCCCCAGGCGGAATACGCCCCATTCCCTCCCAGCGACTAAATACGATCCCCTCCCCTGTTGGAGAATTCCCAACGAAGTCCCAACGATGATGTGCCCTGTAAGTCCCATATCTGAACGGCCAACTACATATTACTCCTACCCACATTTATTGCGGGCGCCTCCCTTCAAGTGTAGTGAGTGAAGTGATTGTGGGTGACAAAAATTCGTGGCATGAGCAGGAGACCACAGGTAGTTCTCACATCTTTTTGCTTGCCTCAGGTCGGTTCTTTCTTCACATTGCGTACAAAGCGTTTGGATATTTACGATCTGTAGCTTTTCTGTACAAAATTATCGCGATGGCTTGTGTTTTTATATTCTTCACGATGAGGTATTAGTTAGGTTGGACGGACAGTTCTGCGACACTTTGACCAAATTTTCGGACCAATTTTCCTTCACTAAAAGACATCAAATCTACAAGGTAACCACAGTTGATGACTAGGACTAGTGCCCATCTTTTGCACAGCTTCTCATTTCCATTCTCATAGAACTACGGCAACTATGATAAAAAGAAGAGGTGGACCTCATTTTCGAGTAGACGTCGATTTTCGGAATTTTTGCTTTCTAAGGATGCGGTAGGGATCAAAGGAGGTGGTAGTTAGAGGCTGCTAACTTTGATGAATAAGCTGGGTACGGTCGCATTCTCTGATCGAGATCCATGATCTTTTGGCGTAGCCTGATCCCCACATGCGGTCTTCGCATTGCCGAGTAGTAGAGAAAAATTGAGTATTTCTGAATGAATTCAAGCGTGACGTCATCCATGTTTTGAAGTTGATTAGAGTGGACTGTGGTCCTTACAGCTGTGCTAGTATCCAGCGATACCGCTTTGAAGTCCCACCAATAACACACTGAAATCTTTATCCCATGCACATCTGCTTTTGGCTAAGCAATCTACTTTTCTCCTTGAGAGATCCTGCGAGATTTGTGTGCATAGTTTCCACAAAAACCAACACTCGCTACCAACCCATAATGTCTCTCAAATGTTCCTTCAGTGTGTACAAGCAAACGAAAACTGAGTCACGGTCATTCGGTATGACTTGGTCCAACTCATGAGGCATCCTTCACAAAAAATTTTCCGATAACCGAGATTGCGGAGAAGCATGGCAGTTGTCAGTTAGGTGGAGCCTAGAGAGGTTGCCAACTTACTGGTGGTTACGTTCGGCTGCGCCTCAAGAAGCTTGAGTAAAGGGCCGTCATTCTGTGCTGGTGGCCGACCTATACATTGCCTACCTCCGAATTAAATAAGTCCAGCTTGGAAGCGCTGATGCAAAAGCTACCCTCTGCCATGGCAAGCGATATCCTTCCTCAAGACAACGTAGGTGTTAGCTTCCTCGACTACGGCGGAGTGGCCCTACAGGAACTCATAATATGGGATAGGTCGAAAAGTACCTCGATCTCTGAGGGACTTTTAAGCTTTGAAAACTTCCACAAAGTCATGATATACCCATGTGCAGAAACCCCAGAGGACAGTCTCCACTAATCAGGGATGAGAACATCCGAAATGTTTTTTGGTCAAGGATGAGAACATCCGAAATGTTTTTTTGGTCTTCTTCTAGAAGAATCGTGTCGCAGGACTTCCCGTCCAACCTAATCTTTATATCTTTATGTTTTATGTCCTTGGATTCTTCCAGTCTTCGAAATATGCAGCCCTCTGCTCAAAAGCAAATTGTATATCAAGTATCGTGCACCTTTTCAGGGATACGCTGAAATGGCGGTGGTTCGAGTGATCAACGATGGATATGAAACACCTTCATTAGAGGACAGAACTGACTTCTCTGATCTAGCCAATGCAAGTTGTTCTCATTTCTCACTGCTTTGAAGGTGCCATATGCAGAAATTCAGTTAGAACATTCCTGGAATCGTCGGAGAATGTCAGAAACTAATGTTGGTGGGCCGTTACTTCTGTCTCGACCATCGCAGATGTCTTTTTCGCATAATGGTGTTTGTGAACGACGCTGGCAGAGTGAAGCAAGCACCATAAATAGGTATCCTGCAGTAGATGGAAGCAACATTGATGATGGTGCGTTTGCATGACTTTCTGTTATGAAATGCTCTGCAGTAGCGTCTATTTGAGAACTCAGTGAAGGTGTTCTGACGCGCATGTGGTCGGTGCATGGATTCGGTCAAGCATGGCATTGGCTTCGTGAGAAGAAAAGAGCTCAGTGTACTCCGTTAAATGTGCATCTCACCTATATAACTCTGTCTTGGACGAGTATACTTCAAGGTAGTACTACTGAAAACTATTGCGATTGAAATGTGACTCCTTTTCCAGCAACCAAAGACTTAAGTAAAGCATTGTGGTAACAACTCGCGCCATGAACACCCAAGGTTTTTGAAGGCCGCTTCACTACGATACGATGAAATATTTCTCTAGCGATAGCGTTTCTGAACTGTGCTGCAACCAGATATTTTTAGGTTTACTTCAAGAGGGAAGGATTAATTCGGCCTGAGACTTCATTATTTTGTTTGTTTTTTGACCATTTTTGCAAGCCTGTCATTCGCACCCTTGGATCATTCGCTTATATCTCTGTTCGGGTTTAGTTATACCATATAATTCGCACTTGAAGACAAACATGCATAGATCTGATCTTCTCTTATGAGACGATCCTCTCATAGCTTTTAGTGTGGGCCATTTCCCCATACTACCTGCTCAGTTGCAAGTTATCCGTGTATTTGAGATAACTTCCGAGATCGAGTATTGTGTTTAGTGATGTTCAATCACCAACCAGTAGCCGATAAGTGAATCCACAGTAAGGAACAAAAACAATTTTAGGAACACCCTAAATACAAAACCCCGCACACAGCCGCAATGTACGAGTTCTGCGAACCTGCTGAAAAAATCGACACCCTGCGGCCTCTGCGCGGCCCCTAGCTCGCCTTTTCTTTTTATCGTCCAGTACTGTATGTCGTCCAAAAGTAGGAAAAAAGTAAACGAAAAAATGCAGTTGAAAAAAACTTAGCAGAAAATAGATTCTGAAAACTCTGTGTACGAGATGAGGATTGCGATAAGGTATGCATAGCATAATAAACGCACAATAAATGCAATTGCATCACTGGTGAATTTTAGCAGCGCTGAAACGCATCTTGCGTTGCAAAGGAGGCAACTTCTGATCGTTTATTTCCAAGCAGGACGTCCAGGCAAGGCATCACGACTCATGGAAGTCGACACGCTACCATTCTCTGCGACGAGAACATGAGATCGTCCTACGACGATCTAAGCAACAGAATGCATACGCGTGATTCACCGTGTAATTCATTGCAACTAAAAAACATTAATGCCGTAAAAGTCTTACATCCCGTACTGTTCTTCGCTCGTTCGCGAGTCAAAAGGGTGCATTCTGCTTGTGTGCGGACATGGCTACTTTTAGATTGAAAAGTGTCTTTTAGTGTCTCGCGATACTGACCAATTTCTGACAAAATTTTTCTTCACTAAGCGACACCTCCAATCTCCAGGGTGGTCACCATCAATAAGTGGGACAAGTGTCCACCTTCCGCACAACTTCTCGATTCCAATCTTACAGATTTACGGCAACTACAATGAAAAGAAGAGGCGAAGCGAGTTGAATTATTTTTGAATTGACGCTATTTTCGAAATTTTTGCTCTCTAAAGGAAGCCACTGAATTTGATCAACAAGCTGGGTACGGTCGTATTTCCTGATTGACATCCATGAACTTTTGGCGTAGTCTCATCACCAGATTTGAACTTCGCATTGTCGGAGAGTAAAAGTAAATTGAGTGTTTCTGAATTAAATCAAAAGTGACGTCATCCACGTTTTGAAGTTGATTAGGGTACATGTGGCCGCCACTGAGGCGGTATCCATTAACATCGCTTTGAGGTGACACCAAAAACATAAAAAAACTTTTTTTCCAAGCACATCTGCTTTAGGCTAAACAGGCGACTTTTCTCCTTGAGACATTCTGTGAAGGTTACTTGCACGGTTCACACAAGGACTCCAGCTCTCGTTAACAACCACAGTGTCTGACGAGGAGTCATTCGAATACGTGCATAGAAGAGAAAACCCAGTCAGGACAATCCGGTGCGCTCTGTACAACTCATATGGCATCCTTCACAGAAATCGCTCGATAGTCGGGGTTGCAGACAAGTGTGCTAGTTGTCAATTAGGTGCAGTCTAGAGAAATTGTCAAATGACTGGTAGTCACTTTCTGTGCATCTTCTGGGGGTTGGGTGAACGGCAGCCATTGAGTGCTGGTGGCCGCCTTATACGTTGCCCACCCTCGAATAAAATCAGCTTGCAAGCGCCGATACAACGGGGCACCTGCACGGCGAGCGACATTCTTCCTGAAGGCTCCCTCGGCTACGACAAAATGGCCCAATAGGAGGTGACGATATGGGATAGGTCGAAAGTACCTTAACCTTCGGCGGACTTTTAATCTTTGAAAGCACTTCAATACCATAATATACCCATCTGCGAAAACCTCAGAGAACATTCTCCAGTAACCAGGGGTGAAAACAATCGAAACACTTTTCGATTTTTTCCAGAGCAATTCGGTCAGAGTGCCGCAGGACTCTTGCATGATCGACAGTTGGTGGAGTGGATAGTGCAATGGGCTCTCAAACCGCGAGTAATTTGTGGATTGGGTCTGCGCGAGCACATATTTTGCACCAGTCGGCTCGCCGGCTAACGCCGGCGCGCCTCCTTCTGATACGGCCCGGCTGCGCCGGGCGGGCGCGGCTTCGCCGCGCGTATTTTCTTTCACATATTTCTAGACTCAACTGATATCCGCCTTTTGTTCTGTACTCCACTTTTTTCCGGTGTCTGAAGTACTCTTGAGCTATTTTACAGATTCTTCGTCTGACTCCGCCCACCAGCAGGCCCCGCCCACAATGTTTGTGCCCCACAATCCTCACCGGCGACCCTCTGCTGACCTTAATCCACTTTTTTCCGGTCTCTGGAGTGTTCTGGAACCGAGCTACAAACTTTTAAAATGAATACCCTGCGATTTAGGGCAAGCTCCGCCCACTGTGGGCGGGTCTCAACACACTTTGAGCGTGCCCTATATTCGCCAGATATTTACATTCTACACTGAGTTTTTGCGACTTCCAAACACTCTCGCGAACCGGGTTACTGAATTTTGCGAGAAGCACCGCCCACCTTGAGTACGCCCCGCCCATTTTGGATGTGTCTGCCACAGTTAGTCTGGCGACTCCTTACTAACCTTATTCCCTTTTTCCCCATCTTTAAGCTGCTCCGGAAGCGAATTATGAACATTTTTCTGCGGAACCCCAAACTTTCGGCGAGTGCCCCGCCCACTGTGGGCGGGGCTTCCCATAGGTCAAGTGTGCTTTTTATTTCTTGTCCCATGCCCTACCCATCCCCACCTTGACCCGACCTCTCCAAGTCGTTCTTCAGGTCGAACCGAATTTCCGGACAGACAAACAAACTTACAAACAAACAAACTGACGAAGCGAATTATATATAATGGGTGATTTTTGGGATTTCCGTCTCCTTGTGTTCCTGCATCGTGATGATATATAACAGATAAAAGTGTGTGTCAAGTAGCAAAAGTAAAAAAAAATTTGATAAAGAAGAACTCATAAAACATTTGGAAAACACGGCCGCGCTAAGAAGTGGGCGGGGTGTTGGGGCGGGGCTTGCAGCAGTACCTAGTGTGGTCTAGTTCTCAACTGCCCATTGTAAGGGGTGTGTCCGATTTGATTTGAAAAGTGTCCGATTTGGTTTGAAAAGTGTCCGATTTGGTTTGAAAAGTGTCCGATTTAAAGTGAAAATGGTATATTCCGCTGACTTTGTCTGTTGGTGTGTGTGTTTGTGTGTTTGACCGGAAATTCATAACTTCCTTCAAATCAGTCGTAGAGCGCTCAAATTGATAAGTGATGTGGGAGGTCGGGCAGGAACACTATTGGTAGGTGGCAGGAAGTGATAAGAGCTGATAAGATATCATGGGGGGGGGTTCCCCAGAGAAAACAAATCAGAGGTGGTGAGGGAACAGTGGTGGTGGGAGATAAGTTGTGATATAGTAAAAGGGACAGTATCTGTCGGGACCCAAGAACCACTGGGCAAAGGATTAGTGAGTCAAGATGTTTCTATTCTTTGGTGATATTTTTGAACGACTGCTAAATTATCGAGTTTCGACAAAAAGTAAGAGCCTAAACGATGTTTGCCAGTGAGGAATGATAAGAGCCACCAACAGACGGATATGTGAAAGCCGCTCACGGAAGTACTAGGATGTAAGAACATTTCACTATGATTTCGATATTGTTACCATTGAAACTCTTTCAACCGCTAAGCTGCCCTATTTCCAACAAATGGTGGGTGTTTTTAGAAATTGTGATAAGCACCAGACACTGGCAAATGTTCATTAAAGAGGGGAAATATGATGAACGGGCCGTATTTTGAAACATTCGAATTAGGCCAAGTGTTAGGGGTCAGCACAACAATCCCATTAGTGATCAATACCGTAGGTGCAAATATGCGCGCAGTAGTGCACGCCAGCCGAGCTGGTGAAGGACAAACTGTAAAGAATACACTCGATGGGACTTATTTACTGCATCTAAGCGAATCCAATAGACTTCTTTTTCAAAAAAGTTTCGCCGTTGTGACGCCGTTGTGAGATTTTAGGCTCACCTACGAGTTTTTATGCTTTGTACAGCTCTGATTTTCTTAATATGTAGTAAGCGAGCGCACGCAGTGGGAGCTGCACCATTACCTGCTTTGACACCGATAAGTACTAAAGTTTATCTGGCATATGAGTACATAAGTAAAAGACGAAAGAACCGAACATACTACACACATAACGACGAGATTTACGAAGGCAAAAGTATTCTAAAGTAAGACAACTACGTGAATACGATGCGCACATGAGAAAAATAAAGCAGGTCTGGGGACTGAGGGCATCGCCCTTAGGAAGAGAGATGAGGCCGCGGACCTCGGTCGTTGCTGCCGGTCGTCTCCTCGATCCAGCTGACTGTCGCTCCGCCCTGAAAAGGCATGAGTCATCGTGGAGTACGGTCGACTACACCACACACCGCTTACACCTCCCCCATTTACCCAAAGTCCTCCCCGGACTTTCAGGAAAGAAGTGATGAACTTACAGGGCAGAGGAATGGGGGTTCACTCCCGAAAGTATTGCTCCTGGTGAACGGCGGGAGCGACGGCGTTGATACTGGTGGCCCAATCTACCACTCTCTTCCAGAACGGCACGACGACGAGCGAAGAAACTTCGCCTAGGATGAATTGCCCATGGCGACATCTTGATATTGCTACGTTCATCCGGCGGATAGTCATCCAGGAAGTCGGCTGAATCAGGGGCAAAATTAGTGCGCGTTGTCAAAAGAATGACTACCTGTTTTTCGCGTCCCTGAACTGAGTCGACTGTCGTAAGCTCGACCCTGAGTGCGTCCAACTTGTGCTGCAGATGCAGTGATTGTGCGGTGCCTTTTGGCACGCAACAGCTTGATGAGCTGGAGACAGACGCTTGCCTCATTAACATTGTAATGAGACTTGCTCAAGGCCTTCGTTGAAGGTCCCTTGACGTCCAGAAACAGGAAAGGCACCTTGGGATTGGGCAGCTGGGTCACCGAGAGCAACAGCTGGTGTGTGGCTGGGTCGGCTTCGCTGACCAGCGCGCCATCATAAGCTATTAGGTTGTCGCATAAGTTCTTATACACGTGTTTGATCCTCTCCTATTTCGTTCGCATGGATGTTGGTATTACGTCATCACGTGTGCGTGACGTGTACATTATACTCTTTCATTACACTAGCTATCACTCACCGAGCTTGCATTTGCAGTACACAATGTCGCACAATTTGCACTGTGACAAAACGTACCTGCGCCACTGTTTGGTTTTGCTCCACGATTTCGGCTGGAATGCAAAGGAAGCCCATACCAAGCTGGTGGATACATACGGTGAGGACGTCATCTCTTACATGACATGCAAGAATTGGTTCGCCAAATTCAAGAAAGGAGACTTTTCTCTCGAAGATGCTCCGAGGTTGGGTCGGCCGATGGAGTTGGATTTGGAAGTACTACGTTCCACCGTGGAGGAGGACCCGTACCTCACCACCAGAGAAATGGCGACATGCTTAGCTATGATCATTCGACGGTTGCACGTGGACTAGAAAAGCTCGGCAAGGTAGCAAAGCTTGGTCGATGGGTCCCACATGAACTGTCCGCTTATGACCTCTCGAGGAGGGTGACCACCTGCACTTCTCTCCTCACTTTCCAAAAGAGGCTTCACTTTCTCAACTCGATGATCACTGGAGATGAGAAGTGGGTCCTCTACGATAACCCTGTGAGGAAGCGGCAGTGGGTCGACAAAGGAGAACAGCCAGAAGCCACCCCAAAGGCCGACCTTCACCCCAAAAAGGTCTGTCCTGTTGGTGGTCCAGAAGAGGCATGGAGTACTGGGAGCTGCTGGAGAAGGGACAGACGATTGACGCTTCCACATACGTGACCCAGCTGCGGAAATTGAAAGATCACGTCGACCGTACTCGTGGAAGGAATGCGGAAATCTACTTCCACCATGACAACGCCCGACCGGAAAAAAGTTCGAAACAAAGGATCAGGTCAGAAAGGCGCTCGACGACTTCTTCAAGTCCCAGCCTCCGTCGTTCTGGAAGGATGGAATCGACAAGCTGCCTGAGCGCTGGCGTCGAGTAGTGAATGGTGATGGTGCATACCTCTAATCTCCAGGCTGGTTCGTTTTTGAGATATTTACAAAAAAGTCGTGTATAAGAACTTATGCAACAACCTAATAGTACGTTTGGTAGCGCGTTGAGCTCGGGGTGTGCTTGGAAGGTGGTGACGAGCGGAGCAACGGGGACAGCCGCAGCGTTCACTAGAACAGTCATAATTCCGCGAGCGCCGTAGCGGGCGGGATTAGCCGTGCGGGGGCAACGGGCATGAGGCTCGAGCTGGTGAACGTCTCCGATGTAACGGTGACGTGCATTGGGAGCGGCTGCATATGGCAGCTAAAGCCGGTTCCGGGATCTGCGATGCCTCGTCACCGATTATGGTGCCGTACTCGCCTATGTGGTTACGGAAGATGCCGTTGCTACTGTCCGCGGTGTTGAGGAGGGAGGCCGTCGTCATACATATAATGGCGGGAGGGCACACCCTAAACATGATGCGCACCATCCTCGCGACGGAATTGGAGACGGATCGCTCTGCGATCTCGTACTCGTGCTGGTCTTCCTCGGGCATGTTCACGAAGCGATTGGGATTCGCTAGATACCTTTCGAGGAGCACGCGATGGGTCTTGAAGTCTGCACAGAACCGACGCTCATTGTCGTTCAGTTCTGTGGCGTAGTCATCTCCGATAGTCTTGAAGATGTTGTTGAGATCTACGCTCGTGGGGTAGAGATTTTCCGACGCTGCCATATCGGAAAGGTAGCGCACTATGTTCAAGGTCCGAGAACTGCTCAAGAGCCAGTAAAGTCTCGGTGAACTGCGCGACTGCTGCGTTGGTGGTAGCGGTGACAAGGACAGCGTTCTGGAGGCTGTGATGCAATAAGCGCTGCGATGATCACCGACCATGGTCTTTTCGGTTCCGAGAGCTGCTTGAATGGCCACTATTGGTTCCG